CACACTTCTGGGTTTGGTTTGGGGCAGACTTCAGGGAGCAGTGGCTGGACCTACAGGAGAGAGATGGTAATGAAACAGGCATACTGATCTAACTGTGAGTCCATTTCTTTCCTAACAGGTCCCATTAGATCACAGGATCCTCTGATAAGTCGTGTATGGCATAAAGAAGTGGAAGAAACAGAATCAAGCCGAGGTCAAGATATGGACAAACGCCGCTTCTGGGAGAAAGGTGATCCCACGGGAGAACGCTTTTCAGTGAGACATGAACATCTTGAGAAAAGTCACGTTCGGTTCAAAGAAGATTCCATGGATGACTCAGGTTCAGTTGGAGGTCTTGATCCTTTAAAAGGACACCTTCGGCTCAAACGACATGATTCCATGGAAGACCTAGTCTCAGTTGAAGATCAAAATTCAGCTAATGTAGATCCTGGGAAGCATATTTGACTCCTTCAAGGTGAGCACTAGCCCCTGCTCATATCAAAGGTTGAGTGATGGGGACTGACGTCATGGTGGTGGAAAGGAGGGGACTAGACAGACAGAGACTGTGAGAGGTCTCAGGGGCCCCAAGTAAGGTGCAGAGAAGGGTGTCCTTGACTCTTCCCTGGGTCAGAGTACTGTGCCCTGCTGAGTTATATCTCTGATTCTCTTCTCCTCTACCAGGTGGATCCTGTCCTGGCTGCACCTGTCCTCAGCCCAGGCCTGCAGGAGTCTCTCTAATCCCAGATACCAGTAGCACAATGCTTTCATGTGCTGCCCATTCTTTCATTCTGGATGCCCAAGCATGTCACTGACTTTCTCATTTACTTTCCAATAAAAATATATCTTCTGCTTCATTTGTTTCTGGGTCCTATGATTTTGGGGCTCCTAGAAGCTCTAGGGAGATGGATGTAAATGTAGCACTCAGTCTCCTTAGTAGAGAGAAAAAAGGACCTAGAAGATGAGTTCCTGGAATGTGAAGGACAGCAGAACCAGGAGCAAGTGCTCCATTCCTAGAGCTTAGTGTTAGAAATCCAATAATCAGCCAAAGAACTGCAGTATTCATGTCAACAGGAATCGAAAATCTGCAATTGTCTTTGTATAGGACCAGGAAGAAAACATACAGAAACATTTTAAAAAACACAATGCATAAACGACAGACATTATTTCTTCCTTTCCAATCCACTATCAATCTGACCAATAGGTTTGCTATGACACACAGAAACACTGGAATGATACTCAGGATTTGGAGACAGATTTATTTACATTGAGGCACTGACCTCAAGAAAAAAATATTAGGGAATGTGTGGGAGAGCTTCCAGCTACCCTGTGCCAGCGGGACCTGCCAGCCCAAGCCTACACACAGCGTGGGTAAGACCCTCTTCCACCCTCTTGGGACTCATCACTCCGCAGCACCTCCTCACCCCGCCTGCCAGGTGAGAATTTCTGCCGTGTTCTGGGGACCCCCAGATCCAGTCCTAGCCCAAGCCCCAGTGAGTACATGGCAGAGCTTCCAGGTACCCTGTGCAAGTGGGACCTGCTGGTCCAAGCCCAGGAGCAG